TCATCCTTTGCCGTCCCCGTCTTCTTTGGCCTTCAATCTTTCCCAGCATCAGGGTCTTCTCTAGTGAGTGCTCCCTTCTCATTTGGTGGCCAAAGTATTTGAGCTTCATTTTCATTATCTGGCCTTCCAGGGAACAGTCAGGGTTGATTTCTTTTAGGATTGACTGATTTGATCTTTTTGCAGTCCAAGGGACTCTCAAGAGTCTTCTCCAGCACCATAGTTCAAAAGAATCTATTCTTCTGCGCTCGGCCTTCCTTATAGTCCAACTCTCGCAGCCATACATGACTACTGGGAATACCATTGCTTTGACCATGCGGACTTTTGTTGGCAGGGTGATGTCTCTACTTTTTATCATGCTGTTTAGGTTCTACTGTAAGGGAAGGCATATCTGCAGGTGCAGCGATCCTCAGAGAAGCCAAGCTGTACCTCCCAGAACGCCTTCTACTTAGTACCTCAGTGATAGTGAAGAACCTTTCCTGTTCTCTTTGGGTCAAAAACAAAAGTAAAATCCAGACTAAAATTTATTCCTGTATTATTTTACCTATTTATCATTCATTTTTCTCCCCAAGACTCAGGGCAGATCACACGGCAGATCACACAGTGTGGATCAATGCAGTCAGCAGGTTGAGACATCTATGATGCAATGTAATGGGACTAGGATTACAAGTATCTGGTACAAAGAACAGAGTCATAGAATCACAGAGTTGGAAGGGGCCATACAGACCATCTAGTCCAACCCCCTACTCAGTGCAGGATCAGACTCTAAAGCATCCCTGAGAAGTGTTTGCCCAGCTGCTGCTTGAATACTGCCTGTGAGGAAGGAGCTCACCACCTCCCGAGGCAGCAAGATCACACCGCTGAACTACTCTTACTGTAAAAAAACCAAAACCTAATATACAGCCTCTACCTTTTCTCCTGTTTAAAGCCATTACTGCAAGTCCTGTCCTCTGCTGCCAACAGGATCAGCTGCTCCCTGTCCTCTAAGTGGCAGCCTTTCAAATGCTTAAAGAGAACAATTCCCACCCCCCTCCTCTTCTCCAGACTGAACGTTCCCAGGTCCCTCAGCTCGTAGGGACAAGTTCCTCGTAGGGCTTCGTGTCCAGACCCCCAGACATCCTCGTGGCTTCTTTCTGCACCTGCTCCGTTTGGCCCTTTTTGAAGTGAGGCCTCCAGAACTGCACACAGTAGTCTAACTGTAGGCTGACCAATGCAGTGTGCAGCAGGACTATGACATCTTGTGATTTCTATGTTATGCCTCTGTTGATATACCCCAGGAATGTATTAGCCTTTTTTGCCACTGCATCACAATGACTGCTCATATTTATGTCCCACCTATATCTCAAGGTCTTGTTCACACACGCTGCTACCCAGAAGTGTATCCCCCATCCAGTATGTGTGCTTCTCATTTTTGTTACCCAGATATAGAACTCTGCACTTACGCACCCACTTTTCCAATCTGTTCAGATCTTCTAGGGGTGGTTGCGACTCCTCCCAATTTGGCGTCATCTACTTTAATAAGTAGTCCCTCCTAGGGATGTGCATTCGGTTTGTCTGAACCGAATGCACCCCCGAAAATGGCCCATTCGGACCCCTTTCGGACTGCTGCAGGCCGATTCAGATTCTCTGATCTGATTCTCTGATTCAGATTCTCTGATCTGAATCAGCTTGCCGCGGAATTACCACGAAAACATAGGGTATATTCTGGGGGCTGGAGGGAGAGGCTCCAAACTCCCAGGGTAGCTGCTAGAGCCTCTCCCCAAGATACCAACCACGTTTCAAGAGCATGGACCAGGGGGTCCAATTCTAAGGGCCCCCAAACAGGTTGCCCCTATCCCCTCCATTGTTCTCTATGGTGGGGAAAAATAACTTTCCCCCCACCATAGAGAACAATGGAGGGGATGGGGCAACCTGCTTGAGGGCCCGTAGAATTGGACCCCCTGGTCCAATGCTCTTGAAACGTGGTTGGTGTCTTGGGGAGAGGCTCCAGCAGCTACCCTGCGAGTTTGGAGTCTCTCTCTTAAGCCCCCTCCCCTCCAGCCCCCGGAATATACCCTATGTTTTCGCCAATGACTTCAATGGCCCATAGGATATAATGGGGCTGAAATTGACATTCGGCTGGCTGAAAGACTCTGCACTGACGAAACTGACGTATGGGAGTCTTACTGCCAGCCAAAATTGATCCTGCCCGATTCGGCGGAATCTGAATGGGCCGAATTTTTTTTTTCACACCCCTAGTCCCTCCACCCCTTTATCCAGATCATTTATAAAAATATTAAAAAGTACCAGGCCCAGAACTGAGTCCAGCGGCACCCCACTTGACACCTTCTTCCATTCAGATGAAATGCTGCTGACAACTACTCTTTGAGTGGAGTTCTCCAACCAGTTCCCTATCCACCTAACTATCCTAGAGTCCAGTCCTCAGTCTTCCAGTCTACCTGTCAGAACATCATGGGGAACCCTGTCAAAAGCTTTGCTGAAGTCCAGGTCTATTCTCTCTGCTAAAACAAGACCAGGAGGTGATTGTGGTACAGTGAACTGTTAATATCAAATGTTAGAAGAAAGCTGAATAACATCAGAACATTCCTAGTGCCAATAATGGATATGAAAGCTGACAGGAAGAAATTTGAACAAAGTCTGAATCCAGCGGCACCTTTAAGACCATCAGTTTTATTCCTGGTACAAGCTTCCGTGTGCACACACACTCCTTCAGATACACTGAAACAGAGGTCACCAACCATCAGATATAGTGGGGGGGGGGCTGTTGCCAGGAGGGTTAATTAGTGTCAAGATGCATACGTAACTGAACAATAAGTATAGCTAAGATTGGATTTAAGCAGTTAGTAAGACCTGTGAATAGCAGCAAATCAGCATACAGCGTAATAAAAGAGCTTACAAACAGATGCAAGGACTGAATGACATTAGCATATGTAGATTCAGGTGGGTAGCCATGTTGGTGTGAAGCAACAGAACAAAGTTTGAGTCCAGTGGCACCTTTAAGACCAACGAATTTTTATTCTGGGTGCAAGCTTTTGTGTGCATGCCACTTCTTCAGATACACTGAAACAGATTTTCTCAGGTATTACATATACAAAGGGCAAATTAGAGTCAAGATGCATAAGTACAGCTAATAAAAGAGTTAACAGATGTGAGAACTAAGCTTTTGTACACAAGTTGCTTCATGTGCTGGTCAAAAACATGAGAAGGAATCTTGACACAGACTGAGGGTTTGTCTACAAAACCATATATAGTCTTCCCCAGAAAAATAACTACAAATTCCTACAAAGGAAATGTACCGGGTGAACTTGGTGTGGACATACACTCTCAGCCTAATCCACCTCACTTGCTTGTTGTTATTTCCTCTTCTAAAATAGTTCACATTGCTTTCTTACTGAGAAAGACTAGATCATGAGGGCATGAATACAGTGTAAAGGGGGAGGGAACCTAGTTGCACCCAGGAAAGCCCTGGCGTAAGGACGCCAACAAAACACACGCACACTGTAGCAAGGCACACAAAAGCTCATACCTTGAACAAAACTTTGTTGGTCTTAAAGGTGCTCTTTGCATTTCTCCCGTGTGACTGAGGCACCCCAGCAAAGCAAGCTCTCCCTTGTTCCCTTCCCCCCTCCCTTCAGGGAGGAGCCTTAGCCAGTGGAAGAAAAGAAAGGCGTCCCTTTGTCTCCTGCAGCCTGGCCAGGAAGCTCTGGCTCGGAGGAGGAGGGGGAGGAGCCTCAGCCAGTGCTTTACCAGACTCTCTCAATCACACAGAAGAGGCTTGCATATGTATCTCTCCTGTGCGATTGAGAGAGTAAAGCAAGCTGCAACGTGGCAGCAGCAGAACTGGAAAAGGAAACAGGAAACAGCCAGGTCCTCACAGACCAGATTGGAGCCCTCCAAGGGCCTGATCTGGCCTGTGGGCTGCATATTTGACACCCCTGCTTTAATCCATCTGGATTAGCCCCCTTAATCTTTCTAGATACAGAACACTCAGTTTAGGTGGTCATTGTCAAGAATAAACTACAACTGTACAGCTTTTCTCCCTCAGCAATCTGCCACCTTGGGCCCTCGGGAGCCAAAGAAACAATAAAACAATGAATTTGGGATACATCTCTCCAAACCGGTAGAGTTTGGGTTCACCTCTATCCAGCAGTGGGGAACTACACCCAAAAACTCTGTGCCAGCAAACTACCTGTATACCACAGAATTCCCCAAATGCCACAGGGCCTTCACTTTGGCCCAGTTTAATCTTTTGCCCTCAGTACTTCTAGAAAAGAGATACCCACACATTCCATACTCTCAGCTCCTTTACCCATGCCAATCCGGTACAGTTGAAAGGGTTGAGCATGTTTTACTACATTGTAGACTCTACAAACCTCACCCCTAATATTAGTTCCAAGGCAGATCAGACACATTTTACACATCCCTCCTTGCAGACCTCCATCAAAGTGGCTAAGTTCTGTGCTAAGGTTTTATTCTTAAGGAAGCTGATAACTCAATCCATCAACACTTAGCAGGTATAGGGAAGTTTTTAAATTTTAAACTTTTCTTTTCATGTTTATGCCTCTATGTTGTGTGTTCTAGATGAAGACTCTCATTATCATGTTATAATGTTGTTGTTTGATCTCTGGATCGTAAATAAAGAATGATGATGAAGCACAGAGTGGCTATTCTGACTGCTGGTCAACCCCTCTATCTTACTCCATTTGCAGGCATGATTGGCAGACTCCCATTTGAGCATAAAAGACAGCTGGAGAACTCTCTCTATTCTGTAATTCAGTGATGGGAGAAACCCCCCCCCAAGGGATTTATGAAATTTCTCTGCATGAATCAACACAACTACAGTAACACCGGATTCATGATAAAGGCTCTGGCTTCAGTCTCAGCATTTAGACGGTTTCTCCACTGTATGAATGCTTCAATGTGCCATTTCCCCCCTAGTGTGAATACTTTGGTGATTAGTAAACCTTATGCTGGGATTTTCCCATTCTCAATTTTTTTTTACAGTTTCTCCCCTGTGTGAATCCTCTTATGTTTACTAAGGCTTGATTGATAAGAAAAGCACTTGCTACAAACTGAGCAACTAAACGGCTTCGCCTTAGTGTGCACTTGTCGATGTGAAGTAAGATGGTCGCTCCGTCCAAAGCTCTTCCCACATTCCAAGCATTTATAGCACTTCTCTCCTGTATGAATTCGTTGATGGCTAGTGAGGTGGCTACTCTGAGAGAAGTCCTTTCCACAATCCAAGCACTGATAGGGCTTCTGTCCTGTGTGAATCCGTTGATGGTTAAGGAGGTTGCCACTCTGAGAGAAGTCCTTTCCACACTCCAAGCATCGATAGGGCTTCTCTCCTGTGTGAATTCGTTCATGGTTAGTGAGGTTGCCACTGTGAGAGAACTTCTTTCCACACTGCAAACATTTATAGCACTTCTCTCCTGCATGAATCCGTTGATGGTTAGTGAGGTTGATACTTTGAGAAAAGTTCTTCCCACACTCCAAGCACTGATAGGGCTTATCTTCTGTGTGAATCCTTTGATGTGTAATGAGGCTTACATGCTGACTGAAGCTCTTCCCACACTCCAAGCACTGATAGGGCTTATCTTCTGTGTGAATCCTTTGATGTGTAATGAGGCTTACATGCTGACTGAAGCTCTTCCCACACTCCAAGCACTGATAGGGCTTATCTTCTGTGTGAATCCTTTGATGTGTAATGAGGCTTACATGCTGACTGAAGCTCTTCCCACACTCCAAGCACTGATAGGGCTTATCTTCTGTGTGAATCCTTTGATGTGTAATGAGGCTTACATGCTGACTGAAGCTCTTCCCACACTCCAAGCACTGATAGGGCTTATCTTCTGTGTGAATCCTTTGATGTGTAATGAGGCTTACATGCTGACTGAAGCTCTTCCCACACTCCAAGCACTGATAGGGCTTCTCTCCTGTGTGAATCCGTTGATGGTCAGTGAAGTTGCCACTATGAGAGAAGTTCTTTCCACACTCCAAACATTTATAGCGCTTCTCTGCTGTGTGAATCTGCTGGTGGCTCGTGAGGTGGGCACTCTGAGAAAAGTTCTTACCACACTCCAAGCACTGATAGGGCTTCTCTCCTGTGTGAATCCTTTGATGTGTAATGAGGGTTACATGCTGATTGAAGCCCTTTCCACACTCCAAGCACTGATAGGGCTTCTCTCCTGTATGAGTCCTTTGATGTGTAATGAGGCTTACATGCTGACTGAAGCTCTTCCCACACTCCAAGCATTTATATGGCTTCTCTCCTATGTGAATTCTCTTATGCTGATGAAGGTCTGATTTATGAGAAAAGCTCATGCTACAATCTGAACAATTAAATCGTTTCTCCCCAGTGTGAACGAGTTGATGTGAAGTAAGGTGGTGTCTCTGTCTGAAGCTCTTCCCACACTCCAAGCATCGATAGGGCTTCTCCCCTGTGTGAATTCTCTGATGTTGGTTAAGGCCTGATTTATTATAAAAGCTCTTGCTACAATCTGAGCACTGAAATGGCTTCTTCCCAGTGTGAATGAGCCGATGTGAAATAAGGCTTACTCTACATCTGTAGCTCTTTCCACACTCCAAGCACTGATAGGGCTTCTCTCCTGTGTGAATCCGTTGATGGTCAGTGAGGTTGCTACTCTGAGAGAAGTTCTTTCCACACTCCAAGCACTGATAGGGCTTCTCTCCTGTGTGAATCTTCTGATGTAAAGTAAGGCTATCCTTCCAACTGAAGCTCTTCGCACATTCCAAGAAGCCATATGTTTTCTTGCCTGTTTGGATCTTCTGGTCTTTCTTAACACTGGATACGCAGTTGAACCTTATTCCTTCCGCAGGGTACTCATTCCTTCCATTTTCTTTTTGGATTTTGCTTTGTGCTGAGATGCCATACATGTTTCTGCCCTGCCATGCAACCAATTTCTTGCTCCACTTCTGTTCTTCTTCCATTTTTCTTTTCTGTGGCCTCAGAGGTCTATTTCGATCCCAAGGTTCCACCTCCAGATTCTCGTCTTTTTCTGAAGACACCTCTCCTGGGTTCTCCTGTCTCTCTGTCTCTGGTGCATCTCCTGCAGGAAAAGAGAGAGAGAAATGAAACAAGAGCTCCATGAAAGAAAGACCACTTAGCACAGCCTGCCATTAACAAATGGTACATTCTCAAATAAGAGGTCTGAAAGAGCATCTATATAACTACAAGCAAGAGAAAAGAACAGGCAGAGGAAGAGGGGTACAGAAGGCCCGGAAGGGCAGACCAAAGAGGAACTGCTTCTCAGCAGCAGAATAGCCACTGGACAAGCCTCTTGCTCCAAAGACGTTGTGGCAGCACAACCATGGTATGATGGACCCCTACTGCTTCTTTTTCTGTGAGGCAGATTTTCCCACCAAAACTCTAAATAGCTGTTCCCCACTCTGTCTGAGCAGCCCCTTGGTAGCGTGTGATAATAAATGGTTTATGACTTTCTGCGTGTCCCCTCTGTGGTAGAGAAGATATTTGGCTTTTGCCCACTTGTTATTTCCTTTGTAAATGGTACTTAACACAAAGTAAAGTTCAAACAGGAATGATGATTTTATTAAACAGGGATGATAAAACTGAGGTAAATTTTGTTGTAGTTACAAATTATAATATTTGAACAGGCCACAAAATATTGTTGAAGCTTAGTTTCTTAGAGACACAGTTCTTAAAAGTGAGATGTTTGTTTGTCTTGGAGATTCCTTTAAGATAGTTATATGAATCTTTATTAAGTTTCAATGTTATCATTAAGGAGATTAGTACTTTCTTCTTGTACTTATTCTCCCTCCCTGTGTGATTACATCTTTCCCTTGGACTCTAGAGGAGTCTAATCCATTTCTTTTTTCACCCAATCCAGCGGTCCCTTCAGTTTTGAGCCCACTGAATAAGTGAGAAGGAAATACTCTCAATTTCCTAGAAGCAATATTCTTTTTCTGTTTGGCTAGACTGGCAGCTTCAACCTAATGAACAATCACTCTCGTCAAAACTGACCCTCAGTTCTTGACCCAGTGAAATAAACAGTTTTCCACTTGGCTGACACTTAGATTAAAGTTTTTATCTGGAACTTTTCCTCAGATTTGATGGTACACAGTAAGGTCAAGGTTTGTCCCTTCACGGCACAAGTGAACTTGTCTGTTTCCCTCTGACAGACACACTAACTCCACTTGTCTGGCTTCTGACACGCCAGAGACTAAGCAAGACCAAAAAGACCCTTCTCAGCACTCAGGTGTTCTTAAAGCTCTCCTCAGCTGGTGCTGACCAATCAGAGAGGAGGGGGGGGTGCATGCAGGAAGCCTGTCAATCAACCTGTGCTTCCCAGTGAGGCATTAACCCTTTAATTCCCCAGCTCTCCGAATTTGATGCACTAAGCATCCTGCTTTTGGAGGTCAGTAAGTCACACATGGCATCTTCCTACTCCTAACTCTGAGGAGATTTTTGTCCCCTGGGAACAGCAAACCAGAAATCAGCCTCTTTTTTTGCCTCTTTAGGAACTCCCCTATATGCAAAAAGTTTCCTCATTCGCAAAATGTATTCATTTACTTGGAACATTTGCATGCCACCTGTCTGAGGAATCTCCACAAGGCGGCTTACAGCATAAAATGTAACAAAACCAGAAAAGTTCTTAAAACACAGGCAGAGCATCAAACAACAAAATGTGGAAATGGATTTTAAATATTCATCTGGCTAAAAATAGAAGATAGGGGAAGGGCATCCCACAGGCAAGCTGCCAATCCCGATACAGGCCAATCTGTGGCTGTCACCCCACACAGACTCTAAAAGGACGGCAGAGCTTGTGAGGAGGGCCTTAGCTGGCAGGCTGGGCAGTAGGGGAGGAGGCAGTCTTTTCAGGTAACCTGGGCCCAAACCAGTCAGGGCCATATAGGTAAGAACCTGCCATTATAATTGTGCCCAGAACAGGGCACTCAGCACAGATCTTTCAGCACCAGGGCAATACCATCCCTGTATCCTCCTGGCCCTGACAGGAGCCTGGCTACCGCATTTCAATCTAACGGAAGTTTCCAGACTGTTTTGAGAAACTACCCCAAAAATCAGCCAGCAACGAGCACAGTCAGTTCCACATTGCATACCTCACCTGCTTTGCTTCTCTAGTAACAAGAGGGGAACCACTGGGAAACATGAGGAATGGTGGTGGGGAGAGAAGGCCTTGGGGAATCTCCCCCGCCAACCCAAATCTCCCCTTCCAGGATGTCACGGGAAAGGGTGCAGTGTGGTGACACTTGGAAGGGGCCTGGCAAACACAGGCCTGCAGGAAAACTTGCAGCAAGGCCCAAGGCCTGTGTGTGTGACACAGAAAGGCTGTGCTGAGGCCTATAAGGCACCCCACACCTCAGCCTCAAGCCTTAGAATCATGACGCAGGACTGGTGTGTCCCCCAAAGAGCACTGTGCTCAATGAACTATAACCTCCTGGTGATTCCCAGCCTGAAAAAGATCCATTTGGCCTCAACTCGATCTAGAGCTTTTTCAGCTCCAGCCCCAGCCTGGTGAAATGCTCTCCCAGAGGAGATCCGCGCCCTGTGGGACCTGATGCAGTTCCACAGGGCATGTCAAACGGAAATGTTTTGCCAGGTGTATGGCTGAGACAGCAATAGATACATCTGGTATGGCCTCCCCTGCTCTTTTCCGGCCACCTATTCTCTCCTAGAAACACAGAATCACAGAATCGGGAGGGGCCCTACAGGCCATCTAGTCCACCCCCCTGCTCAATGCAGGATCCGCCCAGAGCATCCCTGACAAGTGTCTGTCCAGCCGCTGCTTAAAGACTGCAGTGAGGGGGAGCTCACCACCACCTCCGGAGGCAGCTGGTTCCACTGTGGCACAACTCTGACTGTAACAAAGTTTTCCCTAATATCCAGCCAGTACCTTCCCGCCCTTAATTTAAACCCATTATTGCAAGCATCAGCAGTAACACCTACTGACACACATGGTGCACAATCCCTCCTTAGATGGGATGTACTATATTGTGCCTTATGGGCCACCTGTTTTGATTCATTCGTTGTATTAGAATGTATTGGTATATTAATTGTTTTGCAATGTGTTTTAAATAGAAATTGCATTTATTGTTTTAACCATTGTTGCTACTCGCCCTGAGCCCTGCAGGGCAGGGGAGGGCTAGAAATCGAATAAAATAAATAAATAAATAGACCTCATCTGGCTACACAGCAGAGATCTTTCCTGGATAGGCCATCTCTGTTTCCCTGAAAGAGCCCCAAAGGATTCTCTCTCTCACCCAGTTCAGTCGGGAAGGAAATGTCCTCTTCAAGTCTTCCTGGTAAAGTCTCCAGTGCTTCTTCTGATGCAAGGCCTTCCTCTGCTCTCGAGGTCCCATTTTCTGTAGGGGGAGAGAGAAAGAGAAAAGGGAAACAATTAAACATGGTAGAATCATAGTGATGCAAAAAAAAAATCCTTTTGTATGTCAATGAAATCGGAAACACAAAAACATCTATATAATCTCTTATCTATCCGAAATTGCAAAGATTAAACACAATTTCTGAGATTCTTAACAAAGAACTTTCAGAAAGCACAACCCATGCCTGAGAGATTCAGGGGCATTTGGGGTGTGGCTGTCTCATATGGGCCCACTGAGGTGAAATTCGCCTGACGCCATTCCATTTGTCTTCTTTGAATCCATGATGTAAGCATTCAAAGTTAACTTCCCCATAGAAAATACATGTTTTGATGCTGTGATCTGTCATTCCTCACATGGTAAGATTTTTTTTTATATCTGCATGTGTGTGTGCATGTGTGTGTGCGCCTGGAAGTCATGGTGACCTCTGTTGACTGACCCCTACTGGGGGCCTGGAGGATATTCCAAGAGGTGGCTGAATAAAGCCTGCCTCTGTCCTCCTGTCTTGGTATTCCAAGGAGGTCTACCATCCAAGTACTTGCCAGAATCAATCCTGCTTAGCTTCCGAGATCTGACGAGATCGGGCTTGCCTGGACTATCCAGGTCAGGGCACATGGCAAGATTCACTCATGGGGATGCAGCCATATTTTCATGCATTATCCTTTCAAGGATGTAACAGTGAGAGCTTTGCAAACCGAGTGAGTGAATGTTTTGCAGAAACTGTCAGGCCTGCTTTTGTTCCATCATCTATACCACTAAGAACCTCAAGATCTGCCACAACGTCATGCCACAGGAGGAAAACCCAGAGCAGGAGAGATCATTCCTGGGTGAAACAAAATAGGCTCAGATCATCAGAGAAGCGGAGGAGGCAGGAGCCAGACCTGTGTGACTGCTGTTCCTCGGAGCAGCAGTAATTTTACTGTCATGTCTCACTGAGCCAAGACTTGGCCACTGTTCTGGGGGGGTCACGCCCACTAGATGTGCCACAATTGAGAACAGGACACCTTTTACACGAATGGTGCTCTTGATTAGACAAAATGGGAATCTGTGGAACTTCCACAGGAAAAAAGGTCCTGCAGAATGAACTGAAACAGTCCTTTTACTGTATTGTTCTCTCTCCCTTACCTGATAAAGAGGCAACTGCACGCCCTCCCAATTCCTCAAAGGTCTGGAGGAAGCTCATTTCTCGTGGATGGTTCTGCGAATCGAGGAACGGTTCGGGAACCCAAAGTCCTTCCAGGGGAACAGGAAAACACTATAAAGGCATTCAGGTGTCCCAAGAATGTTTACAGTATCAAGAATACACCCAGACTTTTGTGGGGAGTATCGAAACTAGAGATGTGAAGGCCTGGAAAAAACCCGGAAAAATTCGGGAAA